CAAATATTAAGACATTTTATAAAAATTAAGAATATGTCAAAATGACATTGACATTTCAAACCGGAAGTTGCTTATATCTCGCGTAATATTGGAATTAAATATGTCGTGTTTGGACTCATTTTAAAGGATTTTTCACGACGATTACAAATATGTCAAAATTGACGTTGACATTCTTAACCGGAAGTTGACCATAACTTCATTAATATTGAAGATAAATATATGGTGTTTGTACTCATTTTAAAGGATTTTTAATGAAGATTCCAAATATGTCAAAATTGAGGTTGACATTTTGAACCTGAAGGTACTTATCATATAATAGAAGTTTTATAACCGAAGTTAATCTAGTGTTAGTCACTTTTCCGCACTCTCGTTTTATTTTTAACGTCTTTTTTGGGTCATTGATTAAAAAAATCGTCTAATTTTAACCTGTAAACTTGTAACACTTCGTCCTTAATTTCATTTTACAATTTTTGAAACATTATTTTTGTAAATTAGTAACTAATAATTTCATTTCGACTTTGATTTGTGATCTTTTTTAACGAAAGAAAAAGAAATATTAAGAAACTTGTTTGTAAAATGGATAGGATAATTTACAAAATTAAACGCTAGATAATTTTCTTCCAAAATTTTTACGCGAAACATCATTTTGACTCTAGTATTTGTAATTAAATTTATGCCACGACTTACAGAAACACCCTGTATGATTGTAAAACGACTGACCAAGCGGATTCTGTGCTTGTGATGGCTATCATTAGTGTTCTGTGATAAAAATAGACAGGCACCAAACAATTTTCAATAGTTTGAGCCTGTCTATTCTGAGAAGTCTTATATTTTTAGAGAGATAAAACGAAAATCTCGGTTTTCTCAACATTGTTCATTTGTCGCTTAGTCAAGTGATGCATAACGCGGTCTAATTGTTATTCAGCGTTAGATTGTTGTTTACTTTTCTTATTAGTATAATTGATAAGTTAGAAGAAGTGATATTTTCAAATACGTACATTTAAGATTAATATCATCTTGATATTAATCGTAAAAGGAAGCAGGATATCGGATTGGGTTTGTCGGTTTTAAAAGATTAGTTCGACAGATATCAAGTAGATCCGGAACCGGGACATAACGCGTAGAAGTACGCATCGGAGGCCCCATTAAACCACACCATATTTGCTTTTTAGTTATGACGGTCTGTTGTTCCGCGTCCTCCTATCCGCAAACACAATTTGCGGAACAATTACGGGCCCGGAGGAAGCCGCAAGTTAAGTAGTTGCGCGCCGGGGCCACAGCGGACCAACAATGTCGTCGCCGCCCTCTCAAAGCGCCCTTGTTTGTAATCGAATCGGTCCACCACGCTCTCCACCCGGCATTAGAGCGCGCGGACGAGCCGCCTCTGGATTCGCGTAATCCAATTTGTAGTGAGACTTATTAGTTCGAACGCCGCGCCATTGCGGTGGCGGTGGCTGCAGAGGCGGAATTCAGTTTATGAAATACGCCCCGGCGATTAATAACACCACCCCCCTATGCGAGAGACGCTTCTAGTTGCTTCCGGGGGTCTCGCACTTATCTAGTTGGCCCCAGGAGAATTAACAGAATCGATCCTCCTTTGTCATTCTCTTGCTTCAGGTGGTCGTGGAAGGATGTAATGCGGTTAAGAGGGTTGGAAAGGTTTTGGCCCTTGGGTGGTTTCCAAGATGTTTACTAAACTTCACTTTAAATTAATATTATAAATATTGAGAATTTTTCCACAGGATTATAATTATTTATTATCATTGGTCATAAAACCGTCACTGGATGTAAAGGTTTGCACCCAGGATTAATATCTAATCGAAAACTGAGGGGGTGGTACTATAAATTTGTTGTTCGCGAAAACCGGAACACACTCCGGACCGTAAAATGGCACGTGCCACCGTGACGACTCGTGGCCTGCCACGCCACGCACTCTACTCAAAAGATCATTACTGCAATTTTCTACGGTCTTCATGCTGAAGCGCGAACATGGAATTGTAATCACAAAACGAAGTAGGGAATTGCCTCTCTTATTTCCCCTATTCTCAACGTGAACTTTTAAAGCTGCAAGTTGTGATTGATGCGATTCAGTTCAAAACCAAAACAAAAAAAATACGCCAAGAATAATTAGATGATTTGAAGTTAGGGTCGATTTTTGAGTTAAATTTATGAGACACGCGATCTAAATTCGCGACGTCAATCAACCCATAAGATCAATTTCATGGTTCTTAGATACTCGTTCGTGTTATAAATTTTTGAAAAAATTTTATTATCCCACACACAAATTCAATGTGTCGTGTTGAAATATTCTTGTAACCACGACTAATCGCTGTAGAAAACCATCTGATTTATTAAAGCGCCACCGATCACCGTCCTATTGACAATATTATTCGATTATCAATCGAATAGAGCTTATTACACGGTTGACTAAGTGCTAGGCAAACACGGACAGTAGTACAGATATGACGAAATGAGATTCTAATAACCGACGACCGAGGATAAGCCGCAATTGATTAATTGCACGCAATAAATCCCAGCAATTGCTACTCTTTGACGGGTCTATGGGACACTTCTTCTTCATCATCTTCTTCTTCTTCATCGCCAACGAAGCCACTATAAATCATCGTTTATAATCACGCAGAATACGCGAATAGCAACAATCATAATAAAGAGGTATATAACTATAGTCCCTTTCAACCCATCAAAGTAATTGTGATTAATGATCGAAAGCAAATGAAGATTGTTCAATATCTCTTTAGTTCTATTCCAATGACTTACAATGAAACAGTAGTTACTTTTAAAATTATTTTGCTATGTTTCTTTTTTATAGGATTGTACGGAATAAAGCAGCGGAAAAGGCGAAACACGCACACCAAATAGCGACAAGTGGGGGTGGAGGAAACGGAACAGGAGCCGGAGGACCGGTGTCGGTGATAACACACGCTCCTCCGACACAACTGTCGGAACCGAGGTCGGGAGCGTATAGTATAAATGGAATCCTGGGTCTTCAGCACGATCCCAATGGCAACAACATCAAAAGGAAACGGCTGGACGATCACGGTAAGACAATTATTGCGGAATCCGTGTTTATTTATAAAGCCGGTGACACGCCGTTTGCGAAAATACAGCGGAGTCGGTGTTTGCGATTTGGCGCCTCGTTCAAACACGGTTAGCTGTTAAATCTAAATTGTACCGTTAATTAGAGGCTGAAGATGTACTACGTTGGTCACATGATTAGGACGTTAAGTGTTGGTTTAACCAGCTATAAATACGGATTTCTACTCTATTAATCAGAATAATTTTCGATAATTCAGGCCATAGTTAAGTTTTTATCACTACAATAAAACCTCGATATAACGGATCTCGTTAGACCGGACTTCGAATATAACGAACAAAATACTTTTTATAAACAAAATACTTCATGAACGATGAAAAAATAATTTTATTATAACTTTGGTGCGACTAGTTTCGTGAACAATCAAAAAATTATGAGGTTGGTTGTGAAGTAATGAGGTTAATGACTAAGAAAAAATTGGTAAAATGTGTAAGTTGGAAAATTTAAGGATAAGAAAAGTATGTTTACAACACATTAAAAAGTTAAAAAAATCGATTGAACAATATTGGACAATATACAGGTGTCTCAAGTAATTGTTAGAACTCTTTTGAAATTTTGGTAGCATGGGTTGTTCATTGGCAGCTTTCGATCTAAAATATTTTTAAGATAGCTGCCACTTCCGGTCTACGGGAAAGTCAAAAAAGCTCTAACTTGGCATGACTATGCTGTCAAATAGATTGTCATTTGTTGCATCTGAAGATTTTATACATTTTTCTCATATTGGAAAATATATCAAAACATGCAGGAAATGCCGGAAACCGTTTGTATTTTCAAACGTTGGCTGAGATATGGGGTTTTAAAGAGCATGGTGAAATTTGTCAAAAAAAATTTAAAACCAAATTCAAAAACGAAAAATGCTAGGTACCAATAATTTTTATCAAAGTCAACATATTTGTTTAGGTACAATTAAAGGGTGTAATAAAAACTATAGCATTTCATTTAAAATAACGAAGTTGTGATCTACTTCCGGTAGAACGGAAGGAGCAGCCATCAAGAATAATAATTCTTAAGCCGTGTTAATAGACGTACGGCTAAACCCAAATGTTTCTAGGTCTAGTGTTAGTTCTAATGCTAGTGTTAGCTCTAGTTTTGTTTACTATTTAGGGTTAGATTGATGCATAATTTTCACTGAACTAAATTTAAAAGTCAATATCTATATCGATAAAAAATTAGCAGTAAATAAAATTTAACATTTCCAGCTTTTTCTATGGAAAAATTTTGTAATTAAGGTAGAGAAATCAAGATTTTCAGCAATTTATTTTCAATAGATAACATAGCAACACTGTTTGCGATATTGTTGATCACAAGTAGGTGTTTATTAATTTTAATTTGGAAAAACTGCGTTCTCCAGTTGCAACTATCAAATCCAGGATCCATGATCAAATTTAAAACTTCGGAAGGGGTAGTCTTTCTGGTTTTATTGCAGACTCAAGAATTCGTCACACAATAAGTTTCCATTAATATCCGATTTAGAGTTGAATGTTAGTTTTTTTAGCAGTGCAGAACAATGATTCAACAGGTGTTATTTATTTTGCTTTTCTTTTATGTCAAAAATGATAAGTTTTAGAAAAATCATAAGCATTTATTATGATTTGGGGTCATTTATTGGTTTTAATACGTCTTGGTCACTTTTGGGGTTTAAAAATTTGCTACACATTTAGTTCTGACGCTATTTCAGTTGCTGTTATAACAGCTTGTTCGAAACCATATGAACAACATTATTATACATTTAAGCATTTCTGTAATATGAACAAAGTCGATATTGGGTGACAACATTTATTTGATAAAGAACATCGTACCATATTACAAGAGAAATTATAAAGTTAAAGTCTTTCAGTTATTCTGCAAGTGTTGTCACTTCGTGTAATGTCGTAGGATCATTTGGTTTAGTATCTTCAGCCAAAGACGCTAAAGCATCATGAACGTCATAAAGTTGATATTTAACAGCCTTAACGCTTTCGATTCGGGATTCCCAACGAGTATCGCTTAATTTTTTATGGGTATAGATTTTCAGGTGCTGCACCAGTTGTGACATCAATTTCCAAAAATGTAATGAAATATTCCGTAATCGTTACGGCACCCTCGGTTAAGTCAGTGCACTTTAATGTTAGAGAGAGTCGCTCTTTATGGCTTATATCAGTACAGTCAGCTATGATTGCAAAATGCTTTGACTTCTATCAATTCATTTTGTACATTTTTGCCACAATAATGGTCAACCAACTCACCTTTCATTGCTAATTTGACATGCTCCTTCATGCTTCCTTGCCAATAATTGTACGAGTCCTAGAAATGTCCCATTATTTAAGGTAAATAATTTATCAGAAGGTCCTCTGAAACACAGATTATTTTCAGCTAAATATAATGTAATCTGAAGCACATTTTTCGATCATAAATTTTCCTTGGAAATTAATTTTTGTGTATCTTAGTTCTTCTTACAACTGATGTAAAACCTGGATACATTGAAACTTAACACAGGAAAGCAACAAAAAAACATCAAAGTATTGCATTTATTGTTGCTTTACGTTTATTTTTATGATTTTTACATTATTAGCTACTTAATGGATTCGCGAATGTCCCTTGATCCTGGTGCCCACTTGCCCCTGGCGCCCCGATCGCTCCACCGGCCCCACCCTAAAGTCGTCACTGTCTAGAACTAGAAACATTCGGGTTTAGCCGCACGTCTTTTAACCCTTTGTGTCCAGACGGTACTTTAAAGTACCGGTAGTTTTAAACATTTATTTTAAACTTTAATCTATTCGGCACATTTAGATCTGTCGGTACTTTCTACTATATAAGAAAGAACCTGTATACAAAATGACGCAATGCGGACTGTAGGGTTTTTAGGTATATTTAAACTTATTCATCCAGATGTGAGGTTAGAAGTTTATTGGAAGGTGGTGTTGCTGAATTTTGTTGTTCAAAAAGGTATCTTTTTGATAAATGGTTATTAGGTGTGATTTGTAAGCAGCTTCGTGTATTGTTTAGGTTTTGCAATTGCAATTTTCAAACATTTATAACTATTAGAGGTTCGTCGTTCTGTAGCTACAGGTCTAATAAGTAAATATACAAATTTACTGCGTCCATGAAAATATCGTAGCGTAAGTTCAGCCCAGTTACCCAAAAGACGAAAGTACGGCTATTCTGTTACTGACGACGTAAGACTTGCTAACCGTGGTTCGCACTGGATTATTTGTGGAAACGAAAGAGGAAGGTGTGAATTGTTCTGATAAAGTTATTCAGTCCAGACCCCACTCAAAATGTACTGCGTGCAATGTTTATTTATGTTGTAATGAAAGAAAGAACTATTTTTCTGAATATCATGATGTGATTTAGCTTTTAGCAAGTGTTACTTATTTTCTACAGTAATAAAAAATGTATTGTTTTTATATTAGCAATAAAAGTTTTTGTATACTGCAACATCACTAAAATATATTTTAATGCCTGATCTCAAGTACCACTATTCCCCTGGAGTAGTGGTACACACTATAGTACACACTATAGACCCCTGGGTATTCTCCTAGTGTTATTTCTTGTTTCAGCTGTTATTTAGCATTAGATTATTGCACAGTTTTCATTGAACTAATACTAGAACTAACACTAGCATTAGAACTAATACTAGATCCAGAACTAGAAACATACATGTTTCAGCCGTCTTAAGAGGCTAAACCGGAATGTTTCTAATTCTAGGTCTAGTGTTAGCTGTAGTGCTAGCTCTTGTTTTAGTTGTTATTAATTTCACCTAACAGACTTTTGGTTATAACGGACACTCCCTTTCCCATATTAATTCGTTATATAGAGGTTTTCCTGTAGTGTTATTGGAAAGTGATCGATTTCTTTCAATTTCATTGTTTTAATTGGAAGGAAAAAAGGTGTAGGGGTTAAGTTATAATGAAAATAGTGAAAGGAGAGGTGTAGGATAAAAAAGTATCGAGCAGGATTGAAGTTCAGAGATCGGCATATAGAGACGTTAGCGCTGATTGTGGGCGCGTGCGGATGTCGCTTCGTGTTAAAACGTCGGGCATTTTTTCTTAGGCCGCTGGCAGTTTAATTAGTCGGTCGACGGAAAACACGGTCCCAGCAAAACGGACCAGCGGCGGCGGCGGCGGCGGCAGCAGCGGCTGTCCATGGGCAGTCGGATCCGGCCCGTTTTCCCTCGGGGTCGTGCCTGACTGGCTTTTACAACGGCCCTAAATGAAGTGGACAGCGACCTCTTCATTATCTCAACACAGAACGGCATCGGGGGACCGAACCGAACCGCACACACACACACATACGCTCATATACACATATCCACGCACACGTGTATAAACGGATGGATATAAACGTGCGTTTGCCGCTCGCGCCGCCCTTTTGCCATCCGGAACTGGAGCGTCGGTGGCGGGCGTCGCGACGCGCGGCAACGCGCTGCCCTTTATTTACTTGGTTATTTTAGGATCGCGGTCCGTTCGACAATGCGCATTGTTTTATTAACAAGTGCGCCCGGGCGACCGGCGATGTCATAATCGAAATTAATAGGGAATTCTCAATGGGCCCGATCGTGATTTAAATTCTAGTTTATTAACTTTATATTGAAAATTTCACAATGGGTAGCCCGCACCGCGACGTGATTTATACAACCAGTATCGCGCACCGACGCGCTGCCCATCCCAAAAATTGATTTGACCGCTATTCTAATCGTCGAATTTAGTTGTTTTAGTGCGTATCAATTTCTAGTTTCGTTTCATTTCTACTAAACACCGGAAAATAACCATTAATACCTAAAACTATGTCAATATCTCAAGCATACCCATCAATACAAACAACTTCAATGTAAACAACGTTAATGCAATTCATAATGTTCTGTTGCATCTTGACCGGTCTTCTAGCCCTGGTCCGGATGGTATTCCAACTTTATTCTTAAAAGACTTTGCTACTGTTTCGTATTTTTTCGAAGTCCTTACTTGAA